GTCGGATCAGTTACTATTACTGCTTACCGCAATGCCGGTGTGCATAATGTCGTATCGAATTATATATTGCAATGTAAAATAAATTTGATATCGCAATCTGATATTCCTCACAAAACGTATAGCTTTTTTTAAAAAAAAGTGAGACTTGTCCAATTATTATACTTGCGTCCCCTTCACGCTTAAAAATACTTTAATAATGTACGTCGAAAGTAGGGTGATTTCTCTTTGCATACATTACACTATGACGATAAATATTATGTTCGCGACAAATTACGTTAGTTATTAAATTATAAAGTTACGGAACATTCCGGAAAGGTGGTTCTTTAATAAATCGAATTATTTAAGAAATGTCTAATTTTTTTTATGTAATGAAATTGAAGTGCCGAACTTGATATGTGCAAAATTCTAAGGTTATCGATGAAATCGAATAAGAAAGAAAAAAAAAAGTTGAAAATGTAACTTTTCACGTATAACTTAATGACAAATTGGGCCCGGAAACGTTTCTTTGATTAACTGCACACAAACGTAATTTAAAACTTTTCTAAAAAGACGAGATTATAATAGTTTAAAAAATTACGATTTTAATCACAAAAAAATAATAGATCATCGGCCAATCTGGAAACATATTTAATGTTGAAATGGCAAAATATCGTACAATCTCACTGACAATGTACATTTGTACTTCACTTTCTTATCCTTGTCATTGCCACGCGGAGTAGTAATATCGTTTGTTTCAAACTATTTCATTAAATATACACGTAGTTTTAATATTTTATCCAAATTATATACAAATATTTGTGATTTTGGGTGGGTCCTGGTGAAGTACCCTAAATTTTCGACTTTACTAAAGAACCAACGTAAGTTGAAAATCGCAAGCACATTAAGGCGACACCTCACGCTTAATGAAGCTGGTACACGGACATCACGGACGGTATTTCTTTTTATTAGGCGGGAATAGCTCCTCGACGACGATTAACTACAGATGCGCGTAAAAATGATCCTCGCCCGAGACTGTCGTCAGGGGGCCGTTTAAAGAGAGGATAATGCGTTTACCAAATGCGCGGCTGTGTTTGCGGGCTCGTCGCAAGCCTTCGTGGAAGGATGGTGATTATGCTCTAGTGGCGGGCAAAGTGGCGGGTAAAGCACGAGGAGGCGGTCGTGAAGGAGGCATCGGGCGAGGTTGAGAGGCAGAGTGCAGAAGATACGTTGAGATCGGATGGTATACACGTGAAGTGAAGGTGCTCCAGCGCGGTGGAGAGGGCCAGCTCGGCACTTCGCGGGTTACCCGCGGTGAATTCCGAATTTCCAGGGCGTAGCAAATTTCAGAAAGCTCGGGCTATATACCGCGCCTTGGCTCCGGTCGTCAAGTAGGATTTTGCCCGCCCGTGACAACGAATTTCGGGATCGCCGCGCGCGGCAAAGAGCCGCAGAATTTTATCCCGGCCCGGGATAATGGAGGGACGAAAGGAACTACACCGTATTTCTGAATAAAAGCTCGCGCATGAAAAAAAAAGAATGTGAAAAGGAGTGTCAGGGGAGCAACGTCTTTTATTTGTCTCACACGGACTATTCTGTTTCCTTCTCAACGAACACTTTTGTATATCGCGCGAAAATTATGCGCGCGTAATAACAATTATGTACGCACTGCTGCATAATAAATTGCGTTACGTAATTCTTATGTAGCCATTAGCACGAAATTGTTTTATTAACATCAAGTCGGTTGTACGCTCGTGTTCGACATTTCGATATAAAACAGAATTTTGTATGCTACACGCTATAAATTATTTGACGATAGGAAAGAGGCTTAAAACGTAAAAGATATTTCTAATGTGATACTTTATAATACTTAGAGCGCAAAGCTGCTGCGATCTGTATCAGTAATAATATATAATGAGCGCACTGAAAGCTGATTTGTCGAGAGAATGCTTCTTAATAACAATTTCTCTCTTCAGCCGTATCTGGTCGTACTAGATAACCATAGAAGTTATTAGGAAAAAATCATATTTATTGAAATTACGTGTTGCTATGTCAAAAATATTCGACTATTTGCTTCAATTAAGTCAAATTAATTTACATACAATTAATAATTACTTGTCACATGACTCACATGAAAGCCAGACTCGTAATTGCAAGTCTTTAAATTTATTATGTTAGATAACTTTAAGGAAAAAGAGATAGAAAAATTGATTCTTTATATCTTGTAGGTGTTCGTTTCATAAAATCTTTAAATGGCAAACACTTATGATCAAAGTAATTCTATTTTATTGCTTAGAATTTATTGGTAAAAATTATAGTTAAATGCGCACGTACTTGATTTTCCTTAAAATCAGTCGTAGATAGTCTTGAAATATATTCGTGCATTAAATTTCATGAAGTTTGAATGAATGCTCCCTGAACTCTCCACAGACTGCTGTTTTCGTACCTAACTTCCACTTCTGTTTACTCGCGATAAATATTGAAACTTCCAGTTTGCATGTAAAAACCGTCAATCAAACGTCGAAATAAGTCGCTTTGCTGATTCACATAATTTCTTCTTTCTTAAGTTCCTTGTTGGAAAATTGCGTCGGCGGAACTTCCTCTCCAGTTCTTTCATTATTATGTTTATTTTTTATCTTGGAGGCTCAAATTGAGATAACAGATATACGGCAGATCAAAATGCGAATTAAAATTAACACATAAAAATCGCATGAATGCATAGCTGGCAGAATGGCCAATAAATTTTACTGGCAAGAGTACTAATTTTTATCAATATTTATGACATTTTTATATAAAAAAACCGATTTAAGTATCTCACATATTATTAATATTATTACGCGTCTATAAATATTTGCATACATACGAATTAAATATATTATTCATATTCTTAATCATTCGCTTAATATTATTTAAAAAAAACGCACATAGTTAGCTCTATAGTTTACTCTTCAATTTTCAAAGCGCATTAATTTGAATATCCTTTTCTCATTCTCGCCATGTCGCTAGAACTATCATCTAATTGAAATAGAATCGCATTTGAAAAGATATAAAATTTTTTGACTACGTGATGACAAAAGGGAGAAAGAGAGAGAAAGAGAGATTCTTTCTTCGATGAGCGAAGAAGTTACCAAGAGAAAAATATCCTGCTAAAAGGCAGAAACGATGAGAGGGCGCTATACTGAAGAAAGGAAGGCGGTCGGGACGGGAGAAAATTTCACGAAAATGAGAAGAAAGAGAGAATCTTTCCTATTCCTATAGTAGTACGAGTCGTACTTTGATCAGACGCAGTGGATTTACACTCACTCCCAAGCAATCCTCCCGCTTCCTCCTGTCGCGTCACGCTGCCTTTTTCCTTCTCGCGTATCTCACATCGCTCCCTTATCCCCGCGTGTACCTCCTCCTTCTTCATATCCTTGCCCCCATCTGTCGCGCTGTAGCAGCTATACCCCCGACGTCTTTGAAGAAGAACTCGTCGCGCGTCGCGGGCATTTCAGATACCCTTAGGCACAACCGGAAGTGCCGTGGCAATGCCATTACCTGTAGAAAGAAACAGGTATACGGATACAGCCAAGTCGGACGAGATGGTGGAAACAAAAGAGGAACTACGAGAAAAAGAACAGAGAGAGAGAGAGAGAGAGAAGGGGCGGGAGAAAGGGTGGAAAGGAGGGCAGGTGGAAATACTGCAAAGAAAAGCGATCGCGGCGAAATCCTTTTCTTCGCGAGAAAGACACGTACACGTCGTCGGTGTCTTTTCCGCGCCTTATCCAGCATATACAAAACTTATAGCAGGTGACATTCGCGGGAAATGAGACATGAAACGAGATGTATGTTTCCAAAAACAAGATACATTTTACGAGCGACTTGGTTTCCATTTCTCTATAAACTGAACGCTACTCTCCCGCGCGTGCACGCGCGCGACGATGCATGCGGGATCCGTCTTGCGACTTACCTGCATACACTCTACACTTATCCGCTTGAAGGTTTTCACGTACTAAGACAATGAGTCGCGATTCTCGGTAACCAATTTTGCGGTTACAGTGAGAAGAACATTTGTTGTAATAATAACATTTGATCTATTTTTGTACACATGAGAATACAAGGGCAAAGGCGACATATTAAAGGCGAGATGAGATCAGGTATCGAGGAAAACCTTATTCTTCTCGCAAAAGTTCAATAGATTTCTATACAAAAAGTGTCTCGCATACTCGCGAGAGAATATTTCCGTTTACTAAAAACGAAGATTCTGATGTAAGAAGGCGCGCAAAAATGTCAAAGGAAAGGTACATCCACATACGGTATGCGCTTAAGAATCTTGGTGCCTCTGAAAATTGAAGATTTATATACTCGCGTAAGAATGTGATTTAATAGGTATGTGTTCGATAAATATTCTTGGAATATTTATTCAGGGCATAAAAGATGGGGACCGAATATACCTCGAGCACGCAGAGATTCTGGAATCTCCTATCGATTTCTTCGTTTTTTTTTTTCAACAACATTCACAGCGTATATAAAGCTAAGAATTTATAAAGGCAATTTATAATGGCAATTTATGAAAGACGTGAATAATTTAATGACATTGACTTCAGTATTTTTAGGGATATAATAACGCTTTGTGAAAACTAAAAGAAATAATTGTCTGAAAATACATTGACTTTTTTGTAAAAGCACGTTTTTTTAGCTGTTACCCGCATTTGGCATGAGTTTATATTAAAAAACTGACTTAATATTTAATACATCGAGGATTTGGCGTTTAATTAACTGCAACGAAGCAACGGTCGACCAGAGACGTGATTGCAGCGAGTCGATCTCGAGGGGAGATAGAAGCATGGGGCAACTAGGGGAGGAACGACGTGGTACGACGCGTCCTCGGGCACGAAATGTTCCGGAATCTAAACTCTAAACTCGTGAATTTGTTCGTGCGGGGACGGAATTTGTCGGCGTGATCGCGTTGCGGGAGATACGATTATGCCCGCGGCACGATTCCACCGGGAAGTAATTTCTTTGTGGTTTTCTCTCTGTTGCAGATACAAGTCTACGGCTTTAATGCCGAACTGTATCACAACATGAGCGAGGCGCAGCATAAAAGTCAGGGGCTGGTGGCGATCTCGTTAATGGTGCAGGTGAGTAAATTTTCCATATATATATATATATATATATATACTCGATGGATACACATATGTACACCCGACGAAAGTTTCGTCCATTTTTCAAATTGTTTAAGTCCGTAAAAGTTTCTCGCACGTAACTTTCCTCACCGTAAATTTTTACAGTCATTTAATCTTATACATCATTAATAAAAACGTAATTAAATCGCGCAGATATTGGTTGCATTCAGTAGAATCGAGAATGCACGCAGTTCTGAAAGAATAAAGTGTGAATTATAATTTTACAACGTTCACTTTAAAAGCAGTTCACTCTCTAAATTTTCTGGAATGACTTTTCACTCTTTTGGAGTGAGATTCACTCCAGAAAATTTAGAGAGCGTGTATGCATTTTAGTCGATTTGAGAAGCACGCAAGGATCGTTGAGCTCACCTTTTTTCTTATTTAATTTTACTTGCTGAATCCGAAAATCGTAGTTAAAATTGTTTCAGTATCTGGGAAATATTTTTTTTTCACATTTTAAACAGAAGAAAACAATGATTTATTTTTTCGCTTTGTAATTCTTTAGTGCAAGTAAAAGCCACTATTTTAATAAAAATAAATTGAGAGAAATTCGCTCGACAAAGTAATAAAATAAATTACTGTTTTTTCCTGTTTTTAAAATGAGAGAAAAAATCCGGAAAAATAATATTTCCCTAATACTGAGACAATTTTAACTACAATTATTAGATAAGCAAGTAAAATTGAGTTAGAAAAAAAAACGTTAACCCAACGATCTCTTCCCAAACTGCTCAAAATGCATAAGCACTTTTGTGGGTTGGAGGAGCTTTCGAAAATTAAAGAATTAGGATTTGAGAATTATTCATTTTGTTTATTAAGTAATTATTTTTATTTCGCACACTACCTCAGTACATTTTTAAGAAAAGCTCAATATTCATTGTGAGCATGCAGCGTTTAATTATAATAGATAAAGTCGACAACGGTCGACGAGAAGCGATGTGTAACTTAACATGCGCCGCAATCAATTAATATCGCACGTAATGTAAACTGCAAAAAAATACATGTTGAAATTGACTTACATGATCGGTTTCCAACTAAACCCCTCCCCCCCCTCCCGCATATAGTTAGGTGAACGAACCATGTAAATTGATAATTATGTTGGTTGTTAACACCTTCGCGCCGGCTTTCCATCCCCCCGACTCTTGTCAAGCCATCGCGCGCGCTATGGCGGAGCCGTTTCTAACAGGGCGCATATCGTGATACTAACTTTCCCGACTTCGGACCGCACTTAGTTTCCCCTTACAAATTCATTCGGCGTATCAGAGATTACGGTAGTTAGCACGTGACAGACGCTACGTATAGCCTCCCTAATAACGCTTGTCTTGTGACAAATAAATGGCGAGTATATTCGATTACGTCGGATTTCCCTCGAGCCCTCCAGTACTTCTGCGGGGAATTTTTTTTGCGAAATTATCACATCTGAGTGAATCTTGCCAGAAAAAATAACTCGTTACCGATGAATCCGATGAATTTTATAAAAATTGTATCGAGAATATAACGCGTCGAAGAACGTAACACGTGTTTTCGATGCGAATAAAATGACTTTAGAGAAATTCGCGTGTAAAATGTTTTCATCCTCGAAGTATATGTACGCGCGCACGCGCGGCGTGCACAACAGGTAGACAGGGTGAAGTTTCCCCTTCACGGGCGCATTAATTACGTCACGAGGGCGAGGGCGAACATTACCCGTTATTTTTTCAAGCGGCAAACCCCGGCAGAGCCCTTACGTTTTCCAACCTAACAATATCATTATTACGGCATAATCATTTCGGTCGGAGGCTGCGGGCAAACACGCGGTAAGTTTTCCAAGACGCGGCGCTTAACACAGGAATAAATTCCAAAGTTTTGAGAGGAACCTGCTGGCCGGCTAAAGCTGCGCCGCGGCTCTCTCTTATCCCCCGTTCGTTTCTTTCTCTCTCTCTCTCTCTCTCTCTCTCTCTCTCTCTCTTTCACGTGCTCTCTTCTTACTTTCATCGGTCCATTCCTTCTCATTTCACTCTCGTTATAAACGCCAAATTGTCCTTTTGACCGAGACCACGCTTTACGGAACAAACGTAGCGCGACGGTTTCACGCGCTAGATGAGAGCACGCAAATTGACAAATCAACGAATCGTGAGTTGTGATTTTACGCAATTTTGGCTGATATAGATTTTTATTCACTAAAAGGCATCGCTTTTTAAAGTCGTAAACGAGTTATAAATCATAAAGCAAGAAGATTTTTACAATCCTTTTTGTTTAAATGCAACGATGACGAATTATCTTAGGATTATGATACATACATATTTTAATACTTTAATAATAACAAAATTGTTAATGTAGATACAGAGCTAAAACGATTAATATGTACAATGAAATGTGATATAAAATGTAATGTGATATTGTAATTTGAAAATTATATTACAGATATTTATATACACATATGTATATATGTATATAGTGCAGTCTATGTTTCATTTGAACTTATACGTATGTATAAATATATACATGTATATAATACTTACGAATATCTGTAATATAATTTGCGAATTACATTTATAGTATTACATTACTTTGCTTTTATTTTTCTTTTTACATGGCAACAATATCGGGTATACAAAATGTATATACGTGTGCATAAGGATTAAATCAAATAGTATCGATACTTGCAATCAAAGCGAATGATTTTAATATCGAAAAATATCGAAATGTTTCCCATTTGTGTTGTCCTTTTCAAATTACGCAATTATTATCGCGAAACAACTATTTCGTTTCAACACTCATAAACAACCGCTCTCTCGATTGCAGCTTCCTCCAAATTAAATTTGGAATTTTCTTCAATAGAAGTATTATACGACATATGTCTTCCTCCACGAGTTTTTCTATTTTTCGTTGATAGAAATCTATTCCATTAGTCATTGCACTATTTGTAAAAATATCAATTAAAGCAAAATAAATTTGTTTTAATCTGACATTGAAATTTTTTGCTATACCATAGTTATGGATAACACATTGTTGCGAGAGATCTTTTCGGATAACTCGTTATACAAATAGATTTATAACTGAAAAAAAACGAACCGCGAGGAAAAAAATTTTGCAAAGATAGAAATTTTACAATTTTTTTAACGGTAGGCTTTTATATGAAACGTTATCCCACTCAATAGAATTAGACGCGGAACTACGTGTTTATTAAATATATATACGTGTTTTTCGTGCGTAGTAAAAACCACGAGAGTGTGGACTGACGAGAGTTTTCAGCCGTGTTATTCGAACAGAAATGGAGAAACGGACGCGGGTGATACCGTTCCCACATTTTCTGCCGGGGTGGAGAGAGAGAGGAATATATTTTTTGCTTTATAATAATCTAAAATGAAAGAGATTATCGTCACGTGATGCATTCCTCCCGCCTCTCCCCTCTCCCGTGAGAAGAGCGCGATATAAAACATGCAATAACTACGGCCGACCTGAACTGTATTTACCTCCGGAATAACTTTGAAACTTTCAGCGACGACCTTCTGTCTTCTCGCGCCACCTCTCGCTCGCACCCTCTTTCAACGAGCGCCCTTTTCCCGTCCGTTTTCCGCCCTCTTTAGCAACTTAGCCTTCGAAACCGCGGCTACGTGGCGGTGTAACGAAGACGACGAGATAAGAGAGAAAAGGGAGGAAGAGGGAGAGTGGGAGAGAGAGAAAGAAAGAAAGAGAGAGAGAGAGAGAGAGAAAGAAAGGAGAGGAGCTGTATGCATTACAGCGACTATGCGTCATAACGACGCACTTTGACTCGGCTCGCAGCCGTGTCGACAAAACGACAGCAACTTCTGAATATTTTTAAGAGGATGTTTACGAGCGCTCTAAGGCGACGGCGATGGCCGTAAGACGGTGAAAAGGGTTCGTCGGCGCGATAATACCGAACATAATAGCGCTTTTTCCGCTAGAATTTACAGCAGCCGCTCTCTGCGCTGCGCTTTTACCGCTGGCTCTCGTTGCACGCCAGCCACCGTCTGCTGATTAATATGACAGATAAGTATAAATATTCATGATCCAGCTTCCGCGGAGATGGGTGCAAAAGATTTTTTTCATTTGCCATACATTCCCGCGAATTAATATTGCAGGAAGGAAAAAAAATGTGAATAATGAATTTATTCTTGGTTAGTTAAAATTACTTAGCCAAAGAATGATTTCATTTAATTACAGTCGCGCTATGGACGATCTTGAATTATAAACGTTGTAATAGGAAGCCGCGGCGCTTGGCAGTTGTTCCAGACGCGTGACGAACGAGAGGGGGGAGTGTTTGAAATGTTATATAAATTAAAATTCGCGACACAAAACGGAGAACACATTTTCGGCGGAAATATATGTTTTCGCTACGGAATCATAAATTTCAATGAGAGGTGAAATAAACGCGGACGAAATAACGGCGGAACCGCGTCCGCGCGTCCGCGAAGAGGTCAGCCGTTTTGAATAATCCCAATGCGGCATCATCCTTCCTGCAGGAGGAGCCTTTAACAGGTACTCGATCTCCCGACGAATAGATCGTAAAGGCGTGTCTAGAGGCAACGGGGTTGACGACTGTAATTCAAACGGATTATACCCTGGGGTGTCTGAGGGATGAGATCCAAATGAGTCGGTACCCCGTGATACCGTACGGTACTCTTCTCTCTGCGATCTCGGACCTCCGGCTCCGAACGTACTCGACCTCGGACGTTTTAACGCCGGAAACTTTCGAATCGTATAAACTCGTATAAATTCGCAGCGTCAATATACACGGAGGTAAGATGCGCCGACACATTCTATAAATTTCAACATCGACGATTTCCCCGTGACGCACCGATACATTCGAAATTTCAACATCGACGATTTCCCCGTGATGCGCCGACACATTCTAAATTTCAATATTGACGATTTCTCCGCGATGCGCTAACACATTCTAAATTTCAATTAAACAAATATAAAATGTCTATGTTATATTGATAAAATGTTATATTGATTCACGCATCTAGCGGAGAGAATTTTCTTTTAAAATTTCATATTAATCGTAGAACAACATAGTATTTCGACAAATTTTATGTAATTTTCTGTTTTCTACTGTGCACTTTAATAAATTTGTTGTAGTATATTTAAAAAATAATAAGAATAAAAATCACATAAAATTCGTCGAAATACTATGTTGTCCCACGATTAACATGATTTTCAGGGTAAATTTTAAAATAAAATTCTCTCCGTGCACAACTGCGGCGGCTCATTATAGCCATTATAGGCATTTTATATTCGTTTAATTGATTTATTCGTGAAGCCTTATATTTTCTTATTTCTTATTTATTCTAAATTTCAACATCGACTTCGTTATAACGGACGCAGATTAATAATAAACCGATTACAATCGATTTTTATAATTCGTGCGCAATTATGCGACAATTGACGGCAATTATGCGCCACTTACCTACCTGTCTGGCCTTGCGACGCTCGCGCGTGCCGCGTCGTCGCGACAATTGCTTTGTGGAATGCGAAAAGGTCACAGACGAGCTATATAACGGCGGACTAAACGGAATTGAAAGTTTCTTGGAAAAAGACGGGAGAATCGTACGACCTACGACCTAAAAGCCGCGAGGTATAAACGTTACGCTGGAAAGCCGTTAGAAAAAAAAAGTTTCGAAACCTCGTTCGAGCGAGGTCGAAAAAGTTTATTTCGCAACACGCGATTCCGGCGACTTTATTTTCACGAATTGCTTGTGATTCGTCGGAAAGGTAAATTGCGTACAAACACGAATTCCGCGCGTGTGGTATTAAGAGAGCGAGATTTGCATATAAAATAGAAAGAAAGTTGACTTTCTTCTCGCTCTTTGAAAGTAAATTACTCTCGAAGTAATCAATTAATGTAATTGCAATTAATTGTATATAATATAATCGTAGTTGAGAGGGACGAAATCGTCGGATTTTTCTCTCCTTTGGTAAACAAATATCCTTTATATCGATACAGCCGAATGATTAGGTCGGTTGTTTATCACTTTAACTACTGGGAGGAAAATTACTAACCCCCGTAATTACGTCGCGCGTCAATTTAATGTGACTGCCAGTCAGCAGACCTGATCTAATGACAAAAGACGGGATTTCCGCGCTATCAAACGGAAGGAGAAATTCGGTCGACACATGGAGGATATCTGTGCTGCTGCGAGAGACATAGAGAGAATGAATGAATCGGGCTTGTTAATTCCCCGTGTCCGTCGAGTGGACTGCATAATATGACGCGAAGTCGAGCACGGGCGCCTCTGATGTTCCTTGCACCGGTTTAACGCAATACCCCTTTACCTATATCTGTGCAATCGTCGTAGCGCACGGCGCCCCCAGAAGAGGGAACGCCATCAGAAGGACGGACCCTCGTCGCGCGATCGATACGATCTCAGGACGACGGGGCGTCGTCGTTTGGCTGCTTGTTTATTGGCCGACTGCCGCGGAAATTACGAAGCTACAATTACAAATTAGTGTACAGTTGATTTGCCAAACAAGTAGTAACATGCTGACGGCGTAAGCCGCAACTGCAGACCGGATTTAACTAGATAGACTTTGGTCGTACCTACCCGTGTTGGGATTTAACGCAGCTGATTTCGCAGTATTTTACACTGGCCATCGGGTGGTATAAACGCGAGACGAGGCGAATTAATAAGTAAATTAAATGTGTTTTTTTCAACAAACGCACCGCAATTAATTTAAACAAAACAATGATAAAATCGAAAAATAACATACGTCAATAATTTTTCGATTACCGAGAGAGAAATACGCCTCTCTATATATTACTCTCTTTTAATAAATATTTTCTAGATTTATATTTTTGTCGAAAAGTCCGAAGAGACATCATTCGGCGAAATTGCTTTATTGGTATACGTATTGGGCAAAATTTTCAGCGCGCGTTTTAAAGTTTCATCGTTGTCGGATAAGATAAGAAAAACTTTCCTTCTGATTAAATGAATATGAAGAAATTGTGATTACCGCGAATTTTCCCAGTTAAGTTTATCCTAGAGCGACGAGATTAAGAACGTTTAAGGACGGCCGTCATTGAGATTAATTCTCTTAGCTCATAATTAAGATTAGGTTCCCTTTATTACAAGAAATTTAAACGGAGATTAAACCGTCGGCGTCCGCTTACCTGTCTTGCAACTGAATCTCGATTACGTCCCGTGTAATTCTCGAGTGTCTGGATTAAAAGGTAAAACAGTTGCCCTCCCCACCTCTTTACATACTTATAACTCCTGATAATTTCAGTATACGTAATTTAACCAATAAACGTGGTATATATATATATATATATATACCTATATATAATATTATGAAATTTGTTAATGTAAAATATAAATGCTCAACTCAAACGTTGACTTCTTATAAAACATTTAAATTACAGCAGTCTGATATATGTGAAAATTTTAATGTGCTAGTTTAATTATCGCGAATTTTAATTAACATTTGGACTGCCATGTTATGTATGTTAATCATACTCTGAGTGATATATGTATATATCACAATTTATAAGGATCTTGTCGTCGCTCATTTGTAAGTAACGATTTTATAATATTTGGCCGCTTAAGAATGATTTTATTAGGTATTTAAGATATTACGAAGTTAAAAATATAAATTCTATTAGACTATTAAAGAAACAAAAAGTATTAACAACACTAATTTCAATCAGGATGTAAAATGTATACAACATACAAATAGAAGAAAGCCTAACGTACGGCCGAGGCTATAGATGTTAGGTACCAAATAATATTTTTATAATTTTTATTTTTAAATCTCAGCTGTAATAAACTGCGCGCTGATTACTTTTGGACTTTTAAGAACGCAATTGTAACTTTACGCTGAAATAATATTAAATACCGATTGAAGGATGAATTTTATATTAAATTGATCTTTCAATTGATGATTATGCTACAAGCATATTAAAAAGTATTAAAATAATGTACTAGATTTGTTAAACTTAATGCCGAAACTAGCTTGGCAGGTGAAAGTGTTAAATGAGAAAAGATTTCAATATATGATATTTGTTACACAATAAAAAATATTATATAACGCATTTTCAGTATCTTTTTTTTTTAAATTTCAGTTATAATAAACGGCGCACCGATTACTTTCGGGACTTTTAAGAACACAATCATAACGCTAAAATAATGTTAAATATTGATTGAAGAATCAATTTAATACATTGATCTTTCAATTGATGATGCTGTTTTTACAAGCATCTTATAAAGTATTAAAATAATATTCCAGATTTGTTAAACTTAATGTCAAAACTAGCTTAGCAGGTTAAGGTATATTAAATGAGAAAAGATTTCAATATTTATTAGATATACACAGTACAAGATATATCAACAAACGCATTTTCAATATATTTTATACTTACATACTTTTACATGACATTTTTCCTTTGCTGTAATCAACGTACTCAAAGGTTAATGGAGATAATATTGTTCCTCTAGTATTTCATAGCAGCTCTCTCTCGCAAGCAGCGTCCTTTCATGCGGCAACAACGTCGGTAGTTTTAACGAACGAATTATCCATAAATCTGGATACCCAAGAAATATGTCCATTGATGTGAAAAGAGAAATATCTCTGACGTTCATCATTCCGTCTCTTCCCCGATTGTATCTTACTTCATTTTATCCATCTTCTTATCCCCCTTGTTTATCTCTATTTACGGTACAGAGAGACGGCGATAATAATTTCGTGCCACGCGGGATAGGGAAACGGCGAAACTTTTGATCGACGGCGGCGGCGGACCCACGCGGCCGCGCGCGCGCGCACGCGGATCAACTTTTATTATTTATCGTTACTTTAAAATCCCGCGGTCGGTTTAGTCAGGGGTTTTACGGTTACCTTTAATGGCGCCCAGTGTAGAACTTTCGAAACGACTCTTTGCCTTCACCTCTTTATGCGGTGCACTTAGCACCGACCGAGCAACCCCTTTTCATGGGAAATCGATGGAAAACGTATCAGGGCGGAGAGAGAATGGCGCGACGGGGCAGGGGGTTGAGGGGAGGGGGAGGGAAAATAGCGAAGGACACATCGCGTCGATGGTATAGCAGGTAGCACGCGCGGCGATGGTAGCGATGTTACGTGCGGTACGCCGTTGTCGTTTAGATACAAGGATGACACAAAGAAAGCTTGTTTTCTGTTTCAGCTCGGCGAGACGTTAAATCCCGAGCTACAGATCATCACCAGCGTGTTCAACAAGGTCATACATCGAGGTGAGTACAATACGTCGCGGAGAGAAAAACGTAAAACGCTATCCCTCCCTCCGCTCCCTCTTCCCAAATCAAGCTGGAAATTCCGTCGTCAACCTTGGCTCTCTCTCTTTCTCTCTCTATTGCATAATATTACGCTCGCTTGTGTATCTCGCGTTCAACGACGTGATAACTTTTTTCCTTTTAATCTCGCGACCCGCATGGAGGATCCCGCTGGATGCCACGGGACAACTTTCCTTTTGTGTCGCGCGTGTCCATTTTGAAGCCCGCGATCTCCTCCCTCTCGCGCTACGATATACTTATCTCGAAATACATATTAAACAATTTCAAGTACTGATCCCTGCTATTTTATTGTCAATTAAGTAAATATAAATAAAGTACGTCATCTCGCGGGCCGAGTAAATGTAGCTTCGTAATCGACGAAGCGGCGCGGGCGTAAATACAAAAGTAAATCGCGCGCGCGTCGTGTTTAAAGGCTGCCCCATTATTTCCCTTCAACGGCCAAAAACTTGTGAAGCATTCTCTAATCGGCAGGAACGATTTTATTCTGGAAAACTCGGTTTTGAAAGTAAGAGTGCGAGAGAAAAGTTTTAATGCACCCGCATTTGCATTCTGGTTTTTTTTTTCCATTACCAATGAACGCAGCTGGTACATTATTGATGATTGAGGCGAATCAAGCGTAATAATTATCTATTCGTGATCGCGCTCTCCTCCCCCTCCCCCTCCCGTCTCCTGTTACCGGTGCTTTTTATGTCGGGCGACGCGACGTAACGACGGATGACGTAACTACGCCGTATTGTGCCACCGGAACGTAAATCCCGAACAAGCTGTGCAGCAGCTCGATACTAATTTCCTACAATACCTCGGCTAAATGTGTCATTGAAATCGTCTCGACGTACTCCAACGTCGAAGGCTAATAAATGTACGACGCTGCACACAAGAGATGAAACTTCGCGAAATAACGAGACATCTTGATTGTTTCGTATGAAAATCGAGGTGTAGAAAGTCTTTCTCCAGTATTCCTGCAAAATATTCCAAAGTAGAAAAAAGATATTTCTCTGTGGACGTTTTTATAGAAATAGATTTACGACACTATAGGCATTTTTCACGAATATAGTTTTTTTTTTGCATCTTAAGACCGTGGCACATGGAAAAACGTAAATAGTAGAGAAATCAACATGTCGGATTTGCTACTGCTTACGTTGTAGCCTTATATTCTCGATTGTGACTAGTCGATTCGCTTACGACTTACTGCTTAAGTTTTTTGTGAGTCATATGGCCCTTAGTTTCGCCATTTCTACGAAGTTGTCGCATCATTTTTCTTTTCGCAAACATTAATTTTCGATCGATCGCGAGACTCGTGTTTATAAGAGAGATGGTTCAGGAACATCCAAATACAATTTTGGCCAAAAATTTTAAGTACTATTAACTTTAAACTATTATAGGTAATATTATTTAACGTTTTAACTAAAAAATTTATGGCATTTAAAGTATTCTTTGTTCTAAGAATCCTTAAACTGTATGTAATGCCGGTAGTAGGAAACAATACAAGTAAAAAAATTCCAGATAAAAAACATATATATATATATATATTTAATAGTTTTGGCCAAGACCAAATTGTTTATGTTAGAAAATAAAAAAAAATTCTAAAGTTCCCGAGTTGAAGGCGTTTAATAACGGTCACTGAAATTCTCGGCTCCACGGTCGCCTGGGAATTCTGAAAAACGCGGCTTGCAATTAGTGACCCTCCGTTAAAAAGCTAGTGTGCGAAGAATGCGACGCAGGTAGGAATCGGGTATGTTTTCGCGTCGCGCGATGAATAGTGCTATCCTTCACGCATCGGGTACTCGCGGCGAGCCTCGGAGACGGAAAGCTCTGTCCGGATGCTGCGGTTCGCCGGAGTAACCGCGGATAATAAATAAAACGCCGTCGGGAGGACGAGAGAAGAGTGTCAGTTTTGCCGGCGATACCCGGAAGCTTATAGGGGAGCGGCGGCGCGGCGCGGCGCGGCGGTGGCAGCGGCGGCAACGGCTGTAGCGGATGGCACTCGAGTCGAGAGTGAAAAGTCGAGAGCTGCAGCCTCCACGGGGGAGGAAAAAGACGAAAGGGGACGAAATGACTCTCTCAAGATAACGAGTCACTTCCTCGACCCACCGAGTATTCGCGCCAGCGGACGCTCGTCTGCGCCGCCGTTAGGATAGGGTGAAAAGCACCCTTTTCTCGCCGATCTTAAGTTGGAATTTGTAAGAACGATGAGTTGTCATATCCGGTTGGATAAGTAATGGATGTTAGCCCTTTCCGGGCGAGCCATTTCTAAACATATTTAATAACTCTCTCGCTCTCGTATCTTTCGAAATATAGAGCTGTAAAAATTTCTTTTTTTTTTCGTGTAATCGAATAACACGATAACTTTTCGAAGGACGATATCCCGAAAGAGCAGGCCCGTGCAAGGGGTTTTTATAGAGTTCTAGTGCAAAAATGGGGCTCCATCTGTTCATAAATTTCATTTTAAAAAAGCTTTGAAGGATTTAGACAATATGAAGATTATAAAGTATAAATAAAATATAATTGAATATCATTTGCAAATTAAATTGAATAGAGATTTAGTTAGAAACAATAAAAGATAAATATTGTCTTGTAGATCAGGAAGGAAACAACTGGAATCCTCACTGTAGTTTCGTGTAACGTTTATTCAGAATGTTTATTTAATTCGCGTCACGTACACTGCGCGAAGTAATGCCTAATCGCATAGTTCGTATAGTTCGCTTGACGCATACAATCCGCCTTTTTACGCGACGCGCTTAGGGGCCGTGATGCCCTGAGTCGCGAACACTTTGTTTCACTCGCGACGACGCCTGGGGGCTGTGATGCCCTGAGTCGCGAATGCTTTAATTTGCAGAGGTTACTCTATGCGGGTCGGTGTGAGCCGCGACGACGCCTCAAAGCGCGTGTGCTTTGGGTCGCGGCTTGATACGCGCACCTTGTGTCTTGTAGGCCGACGACTACGTATATATCGATTTGAGAGCGCTCGACGTGAACAGTCTAACGATCCAGAACGAAGTGAAAGTTTTTTCCGACGACCGTGGATTTCCACTACTCGTCAATCCGTTTCCGATTGGTCCCCTTTCGGTAACGTGACCGTCGTGATTACGTAAGCGACGATCCTACTTGTTTGCACACGGACCCAAAATTGAAAGAGCCGGAAGTCCCTTAATCGATGCCGCGGCGCCGCCGTGTCGCGCCGGCCTCCAAGACACAGGCATATGATTACGCACGTGCGGATATATGTATAAATTGTTGTTGTCCGAACCCGTCTTTCGCATCGCATCGTCGTGCACGACCCTTTTAGAGCTCTATACGACAAATATATTTAAGTGTAGAAAATTCGAGGTCTCTTAATTGAGGGCCGTGATGCGGTGCATGCTGTGAACCCCTCCCCCTTTACACGGCTCTGTCCGAAAGTCATCCCTCTTGTCGCGTAAACGCTCGCATATATGTATACACACGCGTGTATAAATAATAATCATCTCGGGCATCTCGTTTGTATCGTAATACGAGGAAATACGCGTTCCATTGAGAATGACAAAAAGTAAAAGAAGCGGCAGTGAGTATGAATAACGAGGAAGCGTTTTAGCGGAGAGCAAGAGTAATGAAGAAAATGCGAACCGACGGTGTAAATTACTTACCGTAATGCTTCGCCCGTGCATCGAAGTAAGCGAAACAATGCTGCTAGACAACTAGTTAATAAATTTCCAGCTTTCTAATTGCCGTAGAGTAATTAGTATATTTCTCTTTAGAAAAAAAAAGAGGCAATCGTCGAGCTCTCTTTCCGTTTCTTTCTTTTTTTTGCAAATAATTGTTAACTTAAAATAATGAATTGCGTGCGACGTCACGTCAAATATTTAACCTGGCATCCCGTCGGTTTTGTCACAATCATAAATTGTTTAATACAACGTCATTATTATCATACGTCCTTTCGGAGCCATTAATATTACAATTCTGTTGTATAACGAATATATTTTTGTATATCAGTCCGATTTTATCGCTGTTCGGTATCGCTGTGTATTTAACGTACGCGCGATACAACATTCGCATAATATCGCGCAAGTTATGGCTTACTGAACTATGCTAAATACTGAAGCGGAAGAAAATCGTAGCGCTGTATCAAAGCGCCGATAACGCGCGTTATACCGTGTGAGCGCGTGAATTGAGTCGCCGTGTGTGTGTATATATGCACTAGGGTGCCGGGGCGCGTTTATATCATCGCGATCCGTTCGCGATTTTTCATAACTTGTCTCGGCGAATTAACGCCCGTCAGAGCCTCGTTACGATATTAAAATTAAATGGATGGCGCGCATAATGGATTATAACGCTCGCGCCGCCGCGCCGCCGCCGCGCCGCTGCGTCAAGAACGGCGCGCGGGAGCGCGCGTGCGATCCACCGTTTTGATGCATCGCGCCGCGACTTACGGACGCAAATTGCGCCCGACGTAAAATCGAAATATGACTCCCTCTCACGCGTCCCTCGCGTCCTCCCCGCTCTTCCTCTCTCTCTCTCTCTCTCTCTCTCTCTCTCTCTCTCTCTTCCGCGCCTTTCTCCCCGCTCGCAGATTCCATCGGCGCAACGAACTTCCTTCCCGCGATTTGCATCCGCGCATCCGTCGTGCCGCGCACCGTCTCGCGCCCGGCAAGAAAGCGCCTCGCTCCTCGCTTCAACTTGCGTGGCATAATTCTGCGAATGCCACGGCTGGTTGCATTGCTCGACGAGGAAGAAAATAAACTTTACAGCCAAGTATTCTCGGGAGAGAGAGAGGCTGGGATAGGGGGTGGGAGAGACGTACGCCGCACGCCGTGCAGAGAGAGAGAGAGAGAGAGAGAGAGAGAGAGAGGAGAAGGACCATCGATGCGCGCACTTCGGGTGTGCTTCCCGGTAGGATTTCAGATACCGTTCTCTCTATCTCTCTCTCTTCCCCGCTCCCCCTTTCACTTGTGAATATAAGTCCG